CGTGAGCTTTTAAAGATAAGTTTTCCCTGTAATGCTATGATCCTCTGCTGTCACCTCCTCATCAAGAGGAAAAAGCATAAAAACTAACTACTCAATCGTACCTGCTGCTTAGTGGACATAACGGCACACAACAGAACTCATGTTTTATACCAGTAGATCACAGCTGCTTTAACTTTTGTGACTTTTTCACAGACTAGTACTAGCAGCTAATAGGCAGTAAGCAGGGAGTGGAAGGGAGGAGCGTGGCAAAAAATTTACCGGAAATACGTCATTAATGACCGTGGCATATAGGCTGTTAGAGAGAAATCTTTTATTAATCTGTAACTTGTGACTTAAGACACATCAGATGAGGAACAAAATAGCGTAGGAAGGTGACAGAAAAAAAACACAAGACAAGATACAGAAGACTAAGCAGATGAGACACTGTTGGAAACAATGAAGGCCTTCACAAACACAGAAAGGTGAAACAAAAAAAGACAATAAGACTTCTATTTTTAAATTGAAAGTAAGGACTTTAAAACAGAACAAAAGGAATAAAGGCCAAAGGCAAGCTAAAAGCTAAAAGTAGCAGTGAATGCTGCAGAATAACATGAAGCCACAGCAGGTAAATCTGGGATTCACCTTTTATGCTTTGTTGAGTCTGTTTGCATATCTGCCAGTTCTGCTCCTTCTTCAGGAGTCACTGCAGTGAACAAAGTCAAACAAAACTTTTGCCAGGACGCTCTTTCTGACACAAAAAGAGTTTGAACCTGCAGCCTCAGGATTACAAGACACTGACCACTGAGCTGCTGCTTGTGCAGAAACTCTTCTCACTAATTTACTGCTCCTATAGAAATGTTCGCATGGATGTCAGCAAYATTGTTTAGTTATCAGCTTCTGTTGTCTTTAGGGTTGGTGCTGATATCACACTGCTCAGAGAAAGAGAAGTGGACTATGATCTGGACAGAAATACCAGAAAAATTGCAGAGGTCCTTGTTCGAAAAGTTCCTGATGATCAGCAGGTGAGTCTGTCCAGCAGACTCTGGACCAGAACAACAATCATGTTCACACACGGGCAGTTTTCCTGTGTTGGTCTGAAACCTGGGAAGTTTTTAACTTGATGCAGTTGATGGTGCAGCAGCATTTAGGAGAGCTCCAGAACTGGTGTGAGTGCTTTTGGTTGCTAAAACGGAGAAAAGTTTTGTTTGATGGAACAGCACCAGTCTGAAGCACTGCCAGCACTAAAAATAACTCCAGCAGGACAAAGTCTGAATGCACGACCCTGTTCTCTGATGTGGGTTTTTGGACTGCCAACAGTTCTTGGACCTGCGCGTGGCCGTGCTGGGTAATGTGGACTCRGGGAAGTCAACCCTGCTTGGTGTTCTGACGCAGGGGGAACTGGACAATGGCCGAGGCCGAGCCAGACTTAACCTTTTCAGACACCTGCACGAGATCCAGACCGGACGCACCTCCAGCATAAGCTTTGAGATCCTGGGCTTCAACAGCAAAGGAGAGGTAATTATTACAAGTTTATATCTGTTATAGGTTCTTATCATTTATTATGGAGATGGTTTAGATTATATTTTATACTCATGGCTTGATTTGCAAACCACATATCACTGTTTGTCATAATGTTAGGTATCTCTGGTATCAAGCCTCAGCCAATATGTGAAGTGTAACTAAATGTAGGATATAACACTTCTTATACAGTGGGTAAAATAAGTATTGAACACGTCAACATTTTTCTCAGTAAATATATTACTAGAGGTGCTAATGACATGAAATTTTCACCAGATGTTGGTAACAACCCAAGTGATCCATACATACAAAGAAATCAAAAAAAGTATTGAACACGTCAACATTTTTCTCAGTAAATATATTACTAGAGGTGCTAATGACATGAAATTTTCACCAGATGTTGGTAACAACCCAAGTGATCCATACATACAAAGAAATCAAAAAAAGTATTGAACACGTCAACATTTTTCTCAGTAAATATATTACTAGAGGTGCTAATGACATGAAATTTTCACCAGATGTTGGTAACAACCCAAGTGATCCATACATACAAAGAAATCAAAAAAAGTATTGA